GATTAGCCCATTTTTGGTTAATTATTGTAAATTATTTCCTAAACAGAAAAAATCAACCAATCAACTTTCGAGATTCGTGTTAAATATGATCAGGCACTTAATTTGGCGGCGACATTCAATAGAGTTTTTCTGGTCCTGCCCACACCCTGAATTTCCAACACTATAAAAGAGTCGTCTATACATATTTCATACATGAAAATTTTTTTAGTGCTCAATACCCTCACCAATCAAATTTTGAGTGTACACGAATTAGGTATAAAAATAACAGAGTTAAAATTTAATTTACATATTGACTAAAAATAAATATATTAATATACAGTATATAAATTATAAATTATACATTTTATAAAAACAATAAAATTTGTAAATCTTCATATTTTTTTAATATGTCTCCTATTCCATCTTCTAGCAAAGATCTATTATATCCATGTAACTCTATTGTAAAAGGTTTAGGTCCTTTCCAATTATTCATTAGAATATCTAAACAATTGTCATTAGAAATAGTAACTTTACAAATAAAAACTATTGAATTTAATTTTTTTGGTAATATTTGATTTAATACTGAAAATATTGCATCACCATGTATTTCGTACAAATAAGTTGTTCTAAATACAAATTTTTTTAATTTAAAACAATTGCTAAATACTTCCATCAACTCTTGGTTTAATCCATCCTCATAATGTATTGATAAATTTTCTAGATTTTTACAACATTGTGCAATTGATTGAATAAAAGTTCATTTGAAACAGAACTAAGAAGATCCAGATATTTAAGAGTTTTTCCATTGATATTAACAAAATCAGACAATTCTGATGGAAATGATTGATTATAAATATATAACTTCACAGATTCAAAATTCGGCAGTGAAATATTTTTCAAATATTCTATTTTGATATCAATAGCATATGATGTTAATGATAAAGTCTTCAAATTGTATAGAGCTGGTAATAATATATTATCTATACCAAGTACTCCCTTGTTTGAATAATAAATTATTGACTGTGAATGTGAAAGTATTGCTTTTTTGAAATTATTTGAAAAAACTTGATTAGCAGAAGTGTATGAAGTAACAGATAATTGCTTTATTTGGTTTTGTGCCATAATTAATTGATTCAGACTATCTCCAAATTTATCATTGTAGTTATTATAATATATTTTTAATGATTGAATAGATTTGCAAATATTTGCTAATTTATCAATAAATTCAATGCTACAAGTGAATGTACAATCTAATTCATTGAGATTCTGAAAGCTATCATTGAATTTATGGTAACTATTTATCCAACTCCAATTTATATTATCAGCACTAAGCTCTTTAATAACTGCTGAATGATCTAAAATAAAATTTGTTAATCTATTTTTTAAAATATCCAATCCAGAAGTTATCAACCTATTAAAATAATAATTGCCAAAAAAATAAAACCTAGTACAAAATCTAGCATAATTATATAATGGTGGTTTCTCCAATAAGCCAAAAGTTAATTTAACACTATTTTTGGTTAAGAAATCTTTTTCTTCTTCCAATAAACAATTAATTATTATCTTAATGCTGTCAGGAGAATAACATGGACTTCTCCATAAAATTGGAATACTAATGTTGTGCCATTGCTTATTGACAAGGATGAGAGAATACAATGTTTTATAATCATCTTCATTGTACTTAAATATTTCATTCAAAAGCTCAAGTGGTAAAGTCGTTAACATTTTTTTATCTTTGTAGGAAAAAAATTAATTTGTTTGTTGCACTAAAATAAAAATGGAACCAATTTAAAAATTACTATATCTTTTTATTAATTTGTCAAGACACTCACTATTTCTGTTAATCTTTTGGATCTTATTGTAAAAGGTTTTGGTCCTTCTAATTCTTCATTAGATTATCAAAAGAATTGTCACTAATATTAAAAACATTATGAATAATAATTATTGATGGTAATTTTTGATTTATAACTGCTAAAATTCTATCACCATCTATTTTTCCCACAGAAAACATAGAAACTTGAAAACCTTTTAAATTCAATACTAAAGTTCCGAATGAGCTGAGTTGGCTTGAGCTGAAGCTCGAATTTTCAAATTTGATGTTATATAAATTATTGATTCTACTATTTCATAATACCTTTATTTTAATTATGAACATTACCTAAAAAACAATTTAAGAGTCTATTTTCTTGAACTTAACTCAAGCTTGAAAATTAAAGCTTTGACTCGAGCTTACTCAACTTGGAGTTTTTATTCAAATGAAATGAATAAAAAAATGAATAAATCAGATAAAATGAATAAACAAATACAAATAAAACAAATAATTAATTAATTGAGTTGTAATTTGAATTAGCAAACAAGTGAATAATTCAAATGATTTAATAAATGAATAAAATGAATGGTTTGAATAATTCGAATTTGAATAATGTATTAAAAATAGGAACTCTAGCACAATTCAATAATAAGTTTTGCATTTGGTTAATATCTGAGTACAGTCAAATCTTGTTTTAACAATTAACTTTGCATTACAACAAATTTTAAAAAATGTATAAAATTTGTTTAAACATGGTTAGTAATTTGAACAATTTTCTTGAGTGTTCCATAATTTGTTGAAACAAAGTTTGATTGTATGCATATATTAAAAAATATTTTATTAAAAGCACAAATATTGTTAAAACATGGAATCTTGAATTGTTCTCATTTGAAATTTTTAGTAAGATAAAATTATTATTTTACATCTACAATCGTTCAATTATTTTCAATGGTCTGAAAATAATAAAATTTGAATTGGCTTGTTCGGAACTTTATCCATATCATATACTCCTATACTTGAATAATAAATTATTAATTGTGAATGTGAGAGTATTACTTTTTTGAAATCATCTGAAAAAGTATGGTAAATGGTTGAACAAATGGTAAAATATTAATAAATAAATAATTATCAGAAACAAATTATGAATTAGAGTTTCATGATTATACACATTTTATATAATTTTAATTTTAGCATTTTTATCAATCCAAGAATTAATTGCATCTAAGGTA